CAGCCGCCGTCGTCAGTTTTGCCACCTGGTGGAGACCACTGCTAAGGAATGTGGGGAATACGCACACACACGCTACTGGCAGGGCGGCCTCCTCACCAATGCCAACATCCAGTACAGCCCTGGGGTGCGCCTACCGGACCTCATTGTCTTCCTGTCGACTCTCAACAACGTGTTCCAGCAGCATGTGGCTCTCAGAGATGCAGCCAAGATGAACATCCCCACAGTTGGTGTGGTGGACTCGAACTGCAACCCCAGCCTGGTGACGTACCCCATTCCAGGGAATGACGACACTCCAGTTGCGGTCGAGCTGTACTGCCGATTGTTTAAGATGACCATCAACCGAGCCAAAGACAAGAGGAGACAGATGGAGCTCCTCCACGGCCTGTTCACACCCACCCCATCCAGCTCCTGATGTTTGGAAATCTTCAAAGACTTGAAAAGATATAAAACTGATTTCCACTTCATTTGCTGTTGTTAACGTTCAGACAGGGATCTTTTTATTTTATTGTTTTCCACCTCATGACTTTTTCTGTTTCAAACAACCTCGTGCAACGTTTGCATATCTGAAACAAACCTCCATGTGACGTTACAGCCTGATGTTCTGTTTCACTTTTAATCCAGATTTAGTCTCTCGGTCTTGCTAGAGCTGGAGTGTATCCAAATAGTTGTAAAAAAATAAATAAAACACTGAAGTCTTCTCATTTGTGACCACATGATTTTACAGGTGACACTTGAAGCATTAGGACACAGTGCAAAAGTTAATTTATTTCAGTAATTCAACTGAAAAGGTAAAACTAATATTAAGAGAGGCTCATTCCATGCAAAGCCAGGTATTTCAAGCCTTTATTTGTTTTGGTGATTACAGCTCAAGAAAACCCCAGATTCTAAATCTCAGACAATAAGAATTTTCAAAAAGTTTCAATAATCTTTATGTCCGAGTGTGACACTAATCAGCTAATGAATCAAACAAATCTGCAAAAGGTTCCTGAGCCTTTAGGTCAGGGCTATTCGATGCTGGGGGCTGGTATCAAGCACGGTTTAGTTTAAACCAGTTTCCACACACCTGATTTCAATCAGCAGGTAACTAGCAGACCCGATGAGATGCTGCTCAGGTGATTCAGGTGTGTTGGAGCAGACAGACCACTACAATACGCTAGATACCGCAGCTTTAGATGGTCTAGATTACTGAATGGACTTTTGCATGGATTTATAATGTTTTGGGTTTCACCTGTGTGTTGTAATGTAGACATGACTTAGGCCTAGTCCACACGTAGCCGGGGTTTTTTAAAAACGAATATCCGCCCCTCCAAAAACTTGCATCCACACCACCGCGTTATAAAAGCAAACTCTGTCCACACGTACCCGGATAAATACGTTGTTAAGGACATGCCAGACCTGTAGGTGGCAGTACTTCCCCCGTTCTTAACCTCGTCCTTCGTCTGTGGTCTTTCGCAAGGAGCAGTAATTCCGCTTGCAAAAACAAACAAGCAGAAAGCGCTTGGACAATTGATGGATCGGGTAGTGACAGAGCGCAGCTCTGAAGGCTTCCGTGATGCCGGCTAGTGTAAACACAGGTCGCACACGTGATGTCAGCATTTTTTTGTTGCGGAAAGTGACGCTGCGGACCTTAAAACTCCAGTTTTGTCCGTCCACACGCAGACACCCAAAACGGAGAAAACGCAGATCTTCACTTTGGCCGGAGTTTTTAAAAAGATCCGTTTTCGTGTGAAAAAACTCCGTTTTCGTGTGGATGACAGGCCAAAACGTAGAAAAATATCTACGTTTTGGCAGATCCCCGGCTACGTGTGGACAGGGCCACAGTGTTTCCCAACCCTGCTCCTCACGGCACACTGACCTGCTTGTTTTCCATGTCTCTGCTTCAGTACACCTGATTTGTATTGCCTCCTTGTAAGGACATCAGGTGCTGCAGATACCTGTTAATCGCTTTTTCATTTAAGTCAGGTGCGTGGACGCAAGGAAACACTGGCGTTTAAGGAAAACATGGAGGATGGTGTGCCTTGAGGACCAGGGTTGGGAAACATTGACTCAACATGTGTGTGCGTGTGCTTGAGTGGGTTGCTGTCTGTGTTGTAAAGCACTTTGGGGGGTTGTGGAACTCTAGAAGGTGGTATATCAAATAAAGGCCATTTAAAGAGCAAGTCACCCCCAAATAATTTTTTTTTGCTGATAAACTAAATAAACGAGTGTCTAATCGTGCTGCAGAAACGTGTCGTCAATAATTTGGCACTTCAGTGCATCTTAGTTAAAATTTAAATATTCTGCCTCAAACTGGCAGTGTTGTGCCGTTGTCAGGTAAAAACTCTGCACTGTATTTTAATTTAAATCTGCCACCGCCATTGGCTAAGAAGTATGCTATGATGTAAACTGGTACATTATGATGTCACAATGCTGTCGTGAGCCTGAGTGTGTGTGTATTTGTTAGCGGCTCCGCCCTCTCGGTCTGCCAGGCAACAGCATGTGTTGCATTTTTCAAACATGAAGTGGGAGTGGAGTTAGACTCTGGTAGGGGTTGACTTGCTCTTTAAGTGTAAATAACAGCAAAATCAGTCTGGATGGTTGTTTAGTAATCTGACATAAAATAGTTTATAACAGGAAAAAAGCAGTTATGCTCCAGTCCATGTTGGAAAATCTTTAAATAAAAGGCTAACCGTTACCTGAAGGGTTATGCTAATTTCACTCTGACCTTGACCAATCCCTTAAAATTCACCTTTTACGGTGTGGGTTTTAGGGAGCAAAGCTTACAAAGAACAATATTAAACTGGTTTCAGCTCTATCTGGTCTTTTTCACTCTGCTTTTTTGTGAAAGTGTTGATGTCAGCGAGAAGGATCATCTGTTCCGGCCTCTGGTGTTTACCGTCGGCGAACACAACCCCACCGCACGGAGACGCCTCTCCCTTTAAAGGATGCTGTAGCCGGTGAAAAGCGGATGCTGCGTGGTGCTCATCTCTGCTCTCTCTGCTGTTTACATATGCTGATGGAGTGACGAGGAGGAGGAGGACTTTGCCTTCACTTTAAGCGGATTCCCCGTGGGCGCGGATGCTTATGGAAGCTTGGATGTAGCGGACGCGTTTCATGGATGAGCGTTCTTCTTGCTCTTTTGTTGCAAGACGGCAGCGAATGATTTCTCCTAAAGGCCCGGAGAACGACGCGATATTCGAGTTTGTTTTCGGTAGAGAGATATCCGATCGTTTCCCGCGTCTTGTACCAATTAGCTGATTGACGCCGCATGGCGCATGCTGTGAGGTGAGGTGACGGGGATCTCCGGTTCGGTTCGGCTTCCTCCTCCCCCTCACCACCGCTCAGGATGCCCAGGTCTGTGCGGAGACTGGTCCATCTGATGCTGTTCTGCCCCTTGTCCAAAGGCCTGCAGGTATGTAAACATCTGGTCCTCAGGAGGATGCTGCTCGACCACAGGCATCACAAAATGTCGCGTTCCTCCTCAAAAATACGACAAAACCCATCAACAGTTCAAAGCAGCTGGGTTTTAGTGATCAGATGTGGCCTGGGCCTTGGTAAAGGGAAGAGAGAGAGAAGTGGTGGTGTTTATGATCCTATACTAGGCCTCAGGGCTGGACTGGGACAACAATTCAGCCCGGGCATTTTGACTGGAGACCGGCCCATCACCTGGTTTTTTTGGAAAAGACATTAAGCCTTACGCTGTTTCTGACACACACCAACGTACACTTTCTTATTGGTAGTATTTATGTATCAATCTAATAAACGTAAACCTACACCATCCTTCCTATCCTGGTATTCTAAAAAGTAGGGTTGGGGGTAACTGATTATTTTTAAAATGATTATTCTGACGATTATTTTATCGAATAGTCGACTATTCTAATAACTATTTAGATGATTAATCTAGCGATTACTTTTCTATTGCACAATTAATAAAAACCAAAAAATTCTCAAATAAATTCCTCCAAAAAATTGATAAGTTGTTACTGTAAGAGAATAAACACTACAGGCCTTCCATTTTGTATAACACTGCTTTTATTGTGTTGCGGTTGTTTATGTTCTGGTGACGTGTAGAACTTGGGAGTGCAGGCTGCTGCCTGAGAGGTGGTTGGAGACGGAGTGTCTCCATGCTGCTTTGTTTTGTTCACTTATGTGCGTGAGGCAAGTGGTGTTACGACCCTTCCTGGGGAGTCACGTGTTTCTCCTATTTTAACTGTAAATCCTTCTAGCTGTTATATTTATAACATGAAACAGATATTCGGACAGAATATTTTCACGTTTATTCGAATATGATTGTGGAACACACCCAGCATCATAATACATGAAGTAATATTTATGCCAATTTAAGCCTTTATGGGTGACCAGGACTCTGTGATAAATTTTTGGCAAGGGAAATTATCATTTGTTGCCATTTTTGAGGTGTTTATGAATGTGGAAGACACCCAGCATCCTGTGATGGCACTAATAACATCAAGAGATAATAAATAAGGTAATATTTAGGTCAATTTAACCCTTTACACGTGACCAGGATACTGTAATCAATTTTTGGCAAGGGAAATTATCTTCTTTTTTTTTTGTTGCCATTTTTGGGGTGTTTTTGATGACACAGTAGGCAGTATGAGTACAGTAACGTCAACAGATAATACATAAAACCCTTATTTGGTCAATTTTAGCCTCCATGAAAATCTTAGCGATTCAATCACTTTTTGGTAAGTAAAATGCCATTTTAGTTGTCTACAATTAAATCATCAATAAAGAATTTAAAGATATTTTGAGGCATTTCTTATAGGTAAACGGGAGGGTGTAGTCTATTTGGCAAGTGACAATCTTGATTTTATGTGCTGAAGTGCTTTTATCTTGTTACTTTTAAATAGAGCAACGTAATGAATAGCAACCTACACAGTGTCATTGTAAAGCCAATGCTTGATCATTTTAAATACTTTTTTTCAAGTAAAAATGTACCCAAACTAGTTAACTGTGGCTCCATGTCAAGTGGACTAAAGAAAGGAAGGGGAAAAAATTTAATCGCTGGAGAATTGTTTATTTCCATTTATACAACGTTTACATTCAATACAGGGTGCCATTTTACATTGTTTATTTATTTTTTTAGTATCAAGGCTGTAACATAAAGAAAGCCAGTTCTTACCACAAAGTTTGTGGCACAAACCATCTTTCAATCGCAAATATTGCAAAAAGGATTAATATATCCTCATTGTGAACGTTTAAGACAAATAGCAACACTTAAAACAACTTCCGAACTGGAAAAACTAATGTGGCAAGGTGAGGAAACGAGTGCCCGGGCGGGATTCGATCCCCAGACTCCCGGGTGGAAGTCAAACACTCTAACCAGTCAGCCAAAGGAACATCTCCTTGGCCAGGTAGCCAGGGCGCATGATCTATCGGGACATTGTGGATGCTCACACTGCCACATCTTCCTCCCTCTTTCCACAAGCACGTCCTCGTGCTCCCGCGCAGGGTGCCACAAACACTGCCACACTAATATCCGCGATAAACATCTGTTTAAGTACCGGAAGAGGTTATCTTTGCTTTCTGAATGTCCATATTTAGATATGCTGAGTTTTAGGGCGAAATCCTGGGGAATTTTGTCTAGAAATGCAATTGCCTAACCGTGCGCGATCCCGCGGTGGCTAATCATTTTTTGGCAGCGAGTCAATTTATGGCACAACACCGGCTCGGGTTTCTCTTCCTCCTCCCTCTTTTCTTCTCCAACCTGTCGCTGGGCTGAGGCTCCATCACTTCCTAAATTGATTTTACTTGAACCTTCACTACCAAACAACTGTGAGATTTTAACACATGTGCCAGCATCAGCCTGAAGGGCCAGTTTCTTTTTTAGTCGAATTTTCTCCGCTTCTCCTTTCCGTTTTTTGTTCTCCAATTTGTTAAGCTCGTCTGTCTGTTTACTGAGATTCACAAACAACTGGCGGGTGCATCAGACCTCTGGCTATTGGTCCAGCCCAGAGTGTATTATTACCAATTGGCCAATCCACCAACTTTTACGAGGCGTCGCGTGGGGCGGCGCGGGCAAGTTGTCCGCAACAACTAGAGGCCAGGAAAAAAATAATAAAAAAAAACAGACACCGGCCCATAAAAGATGAAAGGGTCGGCCCAGCGGGCAGTTGCCCGCTATGCCCTATGGTCAGTCCAGCACTGCTAGGCCTATAGTCTATGTGCGCATTATGTTTCATCACATTAAAATACAGACATGAAACATGTCGATGCAGTTAGATGGGCTGTTTGCTTTAAAGGTTAAACTTTGATTTTGTCTTTTATTCTTGAGTTTATCTCCCCCTCGTCCTGAAATGATTAAACTGTGATTGAACGCAAAACATGCAGAATGAAATGTGGACCAAGAGGTTACATGAAGTCTCACATAGATCATGTGAAACGGAAATTATCTAAGTCTATTTCTATTCTTTACAAGAGATTTATTGCACAAGAGCTGCCTTTATTTACTGTACACTTCCCTTTGCTTGCCTTATATGAGTTATTGTGTGGAAATTTGGGGGAAAACATACAAAACATATCTGGATTCAATTTTTAAATTGCAGAAAAGAGCTATTAGAATAATAAATAAAGCTGGATATAGGGAGTCCACAAACCAATTTTTTGTAGGATCAGCTATGTTAAAATTTAAGGACATTATATATCTTAAAACTTTAGAAATGATGTATAGAGTGGTGAAAAAGAATGTTCCAATTTGTATTTTAAGTATGTTTTAAATTAAGAGATGGAAAATATGATTTGAGGGGGTCTTATATGTTTGAAATACCTAAAGTGAGAACTAATGCGAAGTATAGATGTGTGTCGGTTATGGGAGTGAAGTTATGGAATGGACTTAATGATGAACTGAAGATGTGTTATTCTTTGTCGTTTTTCAAGAAAATTTTAAAAATTTGCATCTTCCAAAGTTATAGAAACTCAGTTTGATGTCCAACCTTGTGCTGATTTGATTTCTTGATTTATCATTGTTTTTCTTTAAATGTTATGCAACTTAGCTATCAGCCTTGGTTAAGGATTTGATTATCTCTGTGGGAGTTAATTATAAGCCACTAGGCTTCAACCTGTTCCTTTTTTCGGTTGCTTGATTACTTTTATGTAAAATTGATAAATTGTTGTTGTTGACCAAATGAAAATATCTATCTATCTATCTATCTATCTATCTATCTATCTATCTATCTATCTATCTGTCTATCTGTCTATCTATCTATCTATCTATCTATCTATCTATCTATCTATCTATCTATCTATCTATCTATCTATCATCTATCTGTCTGTCTGTCTATCATCTATCTGTCTATCATCTATCTGTCTATCTATCTGTCTGCCTGTCTGTCTGTCTGTCTGTCTGTCTGTCTATCATCTATCTGTCTATCTATCATCTATCTGTCTGTGCATATATACGTATATAAATATATGTAAATATATATATATATATATATATATATATCAATAACATCTTAACAAGAAAAACTACGATAACAATGGGTTGTTTGCAACAAATTAAGAACTAGTTGATTCAGTTAATCAAGCATAAAAATCATAAATAAAAAAAACAATAATAAATTTCACTCTTTTGCCTGTTTTAAACATTCATGATAAAATTTTGCCGCTCTATGTGGAGGTGCAAACACTTATCTGAAAATCTCCACAGAGTCGTCTTCCTGCCATAAAGGTGAAGTACCTCCTCCTGGCCTGGCTGGGCATCCTCATCATCAGCTGGATCATCTACATGCAGTATGCTTCATATGCAGAACTCTGCCGTGGCCATGTTTGCCACATGGTCATTGTAAGTACTGCCAGAAAATACAGTGCACAACAGCAGCAGTGCTTCAAAGCTGGGTTGAAAGACGAAGACATGACATTTAATTCACAGGCTCTGATGTGATGCTGAAAATCACGTCATATCATCACAATAGATGTCTTATTTGGTATTATTATAGCATTCTCTCTAAATGCATGAGAAGTTTAAAAAACTCTCAACGTGTGACAACCTTGGAACCTCTTATCCTATGCCACCATCTAGTGGCTGACAAGCATATCACTCAAAAAGTCGGTTGCTCTGTTTTTTTAAGATGGCGATTTCACGTTTCTGTTTATAAATGTGCTTCTGTAGCTGACAAACAGAGCTAAAATTGTCATGTCATGTTGTGTTCTCAAATATTTATATTTTAGAGACTTACTTGTCTGTGAAAAGTTCATCAACTCTGCATCAGCCAAGGTACTCCTTAAATTTGAAGCAAGTAAGCGGTAGTCTAACGCTATTGGTTAGTTCTGGTCGGCGCTCAATTTCCTATTGCACGGAGCTCTGCGAGGCAGGGGGCGTGCTTAGCAAAAAAAAAAAAAGACGTAATTCTTACATTATATCACAGTACATGACAAGATAATCACTTTTACGGATTTCTGACAAATCATACATAATTTCTGAAAGGGGAAAACTCCGGAAAGCTGCTTTAAGTTACATGAAAGGGGCAGGGTGTAGAACTTATACTGCAGCCAGCCACAAGGGGAGCTGCTGGCCTTGTTTTTACTTCAACCTAAATACACTCACTGATCTCTTTACTGGTACACCTGTCCAACTCCTTGTTAATGCAAATTACTAATCAGCCAATCAGATGGTGGGAGCTCAGTGCATTTAGACATGTCAGGATGATCTGCTGCATTTCAAACCGAGCTTCAGAATGGCAAAGAAAGGTGATTTAAGTGACTTTGATCTTCTGGGATTGCCATACACAGCCGTCTCTAGGGTTTCCAGAGAATGGTCCTAAAAACGGAAAAACATCCAGTGAGTGGCAGTTCTGTGGGCTATACGGTATCGGGATAACTCTTTCAAAAGGTGCGCTGTAAGCATGTTCTATTCTCAAGGAATCTTGGTCTTTTGAGTCCGTTTGCGCCAGTATACCAGAAGGGAACACGTATAGTTCAACATGGCGAGGCGCAGCTCGCCTAATTAGCACAATAGCTACATAACTATGATCAGTTGTAATAAAAATACAGGTAGTAATGTGACTTAATAGAACCACAAATGCTACCTAATATGCACTGTACCTGATTAAAAAAGAATAAACAACATCAAATAATGTCAAATCAAGTGTCATTTGCTGTTTTACATTCTGATACATAAAAGACCGTCTCTTGTGGTTGGGGTCAGGTTTAAACCCCTAGACACCATACACAAGGAAGAAAAGAGACACAGAAAGTCAGAATTCTGTTTTATGCTCGAGGAGAATGGAATAAGGTCCGATCAGTGCAATCTCCACTGCACCGATGGTTCCTCCAAAATCACTCTGTCTTTGGAATCCGAGCGTCCTCTATTTATTACAAGCTGGGAGTTCCCTAGTTACACGTCTGATAAGCTGATCTGAAGGGTGGGGGGAACACAGCTCTGAGTATTCAGTAATTGTTACAAGTTTCACACAAAGAGCATTCAGTATTACACAATGAACATTCAGTTTTTCTAATCAGTGTCCAATCACACGATGTGCAACACAGACAGTTGCACGAGTCAGCAGTTGTCCAAGTCAGCAGATGTCCTTGGGTCACATTAGGTCAGGACCAAGGCTCAGCACACTTACGAGACTTCAAACAATACAGCAACTGTCCAGCATAAAATGGTAAAATCTTTAAATGCAATAAAAGCTTAAAGCATGATCAAAGAAAACACATAGTTGGATTGTGCACATGGTATTTATTTGGGAAGAAAAACGGGAAATTATGCATATTGCGTCTTAACGTAGCCCATACGTCCTGATCCTGAAGCTATAATCGGGATATTAGAAGTTCCATGTATACAGGGGCAACTCTCTCTACTTAAGCATGTAAACGGATTATTCTGAATTTCTCAGAAACCCAAATACTGGCTGCATGTAAACATAGTCAGTAACTCAAATAACCACTCGTTACAACCAAGGTATGCAGAAGAGCATCTCTGAATGCACAACACGTCGAACCATGAGGCAGATGGGCTACAGCAGCAGAAGACCACATCGGGTGCAACTCCTGTCAGCTAAGAACAAGAAACTGAGACTACAATTCACACAGGCTCACCAAAATTGGACAACAAAAGATTTGATTTGGTCGGATGAGTCTCCATTTCTGCTGCGACATTCAGATGGTAGGGTCACAATTTGGTGTCAAAGTGAAAGCTTGGATCCGTCCTGCCTTGTATCAATGGTCCAGGCTGATGGTGGTGATGTAATGGTATGGGGGATATTTTCTGGGCACACTTTGGGTGCCTTAGTACTAATTGATCATACTTGCAACGCCACAGCCTGTCTAAGTATTGTTGCTGACCATGTCCATCTCTTTATGACCACACTGTACCCATCTTCTGATGACTACTTCAACAGGATAATGCACCATGTCATAAAGCTCAGATCATCTCAGACTGGTTGCTTGAACATGAAGTGGTTCACTGTACTCAAATGGCCTCCACAGTCACCAGATCTCAATCCATTTGAGAACCTTTTGGGATGTGGTGGAACAGGAGATTCACATCATGGATGTGCAGCCGACAAATCTGCATCAACTATGTGATGCTATCATGTCAACATGGACCAAAATTTCTGAAGAATGTTTCCAGTACCTTGTTGAGTCTATGCCACAAAAGATTAAGGCAGTTCTGAAGGCAAAAAGGGGTCCAACCCAGTACTAGCAAGTTGTACCCAATAAAGTGGACAGTGAGTGGTTTTTAATACTGGTAAATATCAGTTATCGACCAGACAATTTTCATAAAGGTGCATTCCTATCAAAATAAAAGCGAATATAGATTGAAAACTGGATGCAAGAAATGTTTCTGGGGAAGTAAATCATCAGGTTCTGCTGTGGCCGGTGTCTGTAAACCAGCGGCTGTAGAAAAACATCAAACTACTATCCTACCATGCCTGACACTTTTCAACTACTGATTTATAACAGTTGACAATGAACACTGACATTTAGTGGCATACAAAATCTGTTGTCAACAGGAAATGTAGATGGATGTGTTATAAAGAGTTCATCAGTTCTTTGGTACCACACACAGCTGAACATTTCTGTCTATGACCTGCTTTACTGCTCCTCAACCGGTGAACCATCACGGCCCTTCAGTTCCTTAGAAATGGGCCGTGTAAATTCTAAATTATGTTTGAAATATTCTGCTGTTGTAAAAAAAACACGATTGTTTGGAAGACATTTGCGGGAGAATAAACCAGTTAAAGGGTCTTTGTTTCTGTTCATTAGGCCAGGTTGTCTTTAGTCACCCTATCCAGATTTTACAGACCTGTTGACAAGGAGGCATCATCATCTCGTCATCAGTGGGCCCTCTGTAGTTTCACTGCAGACGAGATCTCTATCATCACATTGTTTCCCTCAGTGGGGGGGCTGGGGAACCCTTACATTTATTATAAGTCATCGCCCCTGGAGGGGGCCAAAGTTTTGAACCGACCATATCAGTAAAAGGGTTTTTATCTCAGTCGGTGCATTAAGCTCATTAGTTTTTAGCTTTACGTTTCTCCCTGAAAAATGTAATTTTGTGTTGGGGCTGGAATCCATTTGAAGTTATTATTTTTGTTGTTTTTATATTTGTGTCTAACTGCCAGTCTAAAAGAACAAATTTCACAAAATAAAATGCAATTGCTTTCTTTTTTTAACAGTTTGTTCATTTCAATTGTTTTTTATCAGCCCAAACTGACAATGATTTCATGCATAACGAAAGTTTCCAGATGTAGCTGCACCAAAACCTTTAGTTCAACCGTTACTCGCATCTTTTTGTGCTGTTTTTACACGCAGCAAACCTGCTTGTGGTTTCACGGTTCGTGCATCCCTCTGAGGGTGTGAGAAATGTGTTGTCATTTGACCTTCTGCCTGTCAGATATCCTCCACACACCAGCTGCCTCTGATGCTGCTGCAGAGCACCAAAGCGGTTCCAACACAGACATGTTAATCGGATATTCGGTGCACAGAGCACGCCATTATTTACTCTCATTAAATGGTCTGTTTTTGTGACTGACTTATTTTTATGGGCTATTACACCTGAATGAGTAGGTTGTACTTTTGAACTATATAAATCAGGCTGCAGTTTGATTAAATAATGTTTTTGTTTATGTTTATTATGTTTATTTATTTATTTAGCAGACGCTTTTATCCAAAGCGACTTACAATTTATAACCTATAGGGCATGTTGTGATCATTTAAACATGAAATATTTTTAGATATTGCCATTTTTACACACCCAAGGTCTCTTGACCAGGTCATTTGCTGAACAGAATTTAGAAAAAGTGTTTTTTATTACACTTCTCAAATGCATCATGCTGCTTTGCATTGTTCCTGTGTACCGATGCGTCGTTACAGTCACATTATGAAAGTACAGAGGTTATTATTGATTCTGTTAGAATCTGGCTTCACTAGATTCAGTTTTCCCTCATTTTCAGACTTTATATGAACCAGAATAATTAGATCCTTTTAGATGACTTCAAACTGAAACATGATGAACCTACGTTTTTAAATTAAAGTAAAAGTGTGACGCCACAATTTAAAACATGCATGGGCGACAAGAACAAATGGAATGTGAGACCCAGAAAACAAAATAGGATGCAACATAGCTTTTTCTAAATTCTGTTCAGCAAATAACCTGGTCAAGAGACCTTGGGTGTGTAAAAATGGAAATATCTAATAATATTTCATGTTTAAATGTTGTACCGATCCTCTTTAGAGGATGAAGCTCTTAGGATTTTGTTCCTGTTTCCTGTTGTTGACCTTGTGCTTCCTTTGTTTGTTCTTACAGTGCGATCACTACAGAAGAGGCATCATATCAGGCTCGTCCTGTAAGGCTTTGTGTGATCAAAAAACTCTGAGCCTGCACCACTGCATGTCCACCTCCTCCACACATCAGGTCAAATTAACGCACACACCATACACACACTTAGATTAGAGCTTTTCATTCTGAAAGGCAACCTTTTAGAACTTTGCTGCCAATTAAAAAAAAAGTCCCTTAGGGTGGGAACTATAAAGCAAAAGTGAGTTCTAAATGCACGCGTGAGAAAAGTGAACCAGAAGGAGACTGACGAAATCCATTAAAATCACAAAATTAAAGATATAAATCCACTTAAAACAGACACAGAAGCTGAAATCATCAGTAAAACACAAACCTATTAAACCACACTATGAATACAACAGACTAGAGGTATAGCGTCTCAGCTAGAAAAAGCTAACCATTAGCATTAGCAACTCCACCACACAGCAGAACTCCTTCAGGCTTGTGGTATTTGTGAAGATAAAACATCATCATTGTAAAGCAAATGGAGTTAGTGGTAGAGTCACGCTGCTGTTAGTCAATCAGAGGTGAGATGTCTGAATATCATGAATACTAATGATTCCAAAACTCCAAATCCTGTTGTTTTCTGCCCCTTTCTCTGGCCAACGTCTACTTACTAACAGAGAAGCTCCAAAGATTTTTTCCACATAGAACAACCCATAAGACATTCATTTATACTAGACACCACAGCAAATATATTAAAAAATGATTGAATGAGAGCTATAAACAATAATAATGAGTAGTTTAGTTGCACATATTAAAAAAAAAGCTATTGAGTTTTGTTTTTCAGCGTATTAAGTTACTAACATAGCTACGATCTCCATATTCTTTTGTATCTAACTGTGTTTTTGTTCTTACTTCTGCAGGTGTACGTTGGTCTTTGGAACGAGAGGCCCGTGGTAATCAAATGTAGCATTGAGGATCCAGTGAACATAGACGGTGCTCCAGAAACTTTAATGCGACCAGAGATGATCTTGTTCGACAAGCCGACTCGTGGAACTTCCATGGATGAATTTAAAGAAATGCTCCACAGCTTCCTCAAGGTTTCTCACACACGAAATGAGTGATGCAATAGAAATGATAAGCTGTTTAAAGGAATATTCCACCCCATAAGTGACATTGAGTCTGTTGCCTTATTCCCAGAATTAGATAAGTGGGAAAAGGCATTTTGTTACCAGCCCAGCCATTCTCCTGATCCGGTACTTGTTTAGCTTTAACTTATCATAAACAATTTAAGTCAACGGTAACAACTAGCATTTAATGTGAAAAGTTGTTGATAGGTAATTTAATGTTATCCCATATTACCTTTAAGGACGACACACCCAGAGAGGGAGAGAGAGAGTAAATTGATTATTTGTAATGTCCATGTGTGTGGCTCAACCAGCCCCCACTCTGCTCCAGCCTCAAAGCTTTCTCCTCACCTGCTCTGTATACCTGCATTCTCCAATTATCTGTTAGATAATATTTAACCTCCATAACCCTGGAAACTGAAATAAACACACATGACAACAAGGAAGACATTTTACACTGAATTAGCCAAATGAGGGGGAGATCACCGAAATGACACATAACTCTCTCCAGAGCTAGCTGCCAGGCGACTCCCCCAGTCCTCAGGGATTAGATTTCACCTTTCCAGTACCTATAATGCAGCTTTGAATCTCATTCCTAAGCAGTTTCAGTCTCGGTCACACCTTCCAGCATCTAATCAACACAATGACTCCCTCACAATAGAGGCTAACTACTCATCAGGGGATTGAGAGGCGGGGTACCCAGAGTAGTTTCTGCTTGTTAAATAAAAATAGACAGCTACAGCTTATAAACTTGACTCTCCCCATATTCCAGTAAGAATTGACAAAGTTCTTCGAAGAGAAAGGAAATGTCTTCAAAGCCCCCTTCAGACAGGCCATGAAAAACAGAAATGTTCCGGACTCTGTCCGTAAGACCTTTGTGGCTGAACACAAACATCCGGAAAACGTTTTCCGTAATTTAACCGGACGACGCCCCTAGTAACAGGTCCGGACTTGTTACGGACAGGGTGGCTGCTTCAGACTGGTGAGGTCGAGTTCCGGACGGGGAGGAGGGGACCAGGGGATGCTGTGCGCACCTAGATAGCCCGCTGCTGTAGCATGAGGCGAACCATGGCAGCTCGCCTCCTACGGTACCGTCTAGACGCGCGACAGATCGCTTCACACCGCTTCAGTGATTCCTTTAACCATTGAGCTTCATCATCCAGGTCTCTTATGCATCTTCGTGTGCGCAGAATTATACTTAACATAAGTCCGATCCCCCCCCCCCTCAGACATCTGGAACTTTTCCCTGCTGTGCGAAGGCAGCCGAAAGGACAAGTTCCGGTACAAAAGTGGTGTGTCTGAAAACACAGTTCTGGTTAAAAACTGGATTGAATTGTCCACACGTATTCCAGAAAGTCTATCTGAAAAGGGCTCAAGAAACCAAAGAAGTCCAGTTGCCTTCCTTTGAACCCTTTGGATTACCATGACCTGGATGACTGAGATCCTTCACCAGCATGACTTAGATACAAACACACTACTTTAATCATGAAGTAACATAAAACATGGGGTCTGGCTGGCCTCTATTAACATGCATGGCTAAGAATATAGATTACAGTATCATCTGCATACATTTTAATGTTAGAGTTACAGGAGCACTGTTTTGACATAGCATATTTAATAATGGCCCAAGGATAGATCCTATTTAAAACTTCCTAGCGGGTCATTTTTTTAGATTGATTTGACAAACTAACTCGTTTAAGTTATTGTGAAGAAAAATTAAAGCTACATATCGTTTGATCAATTTGTGATGAAAACACCCAAATGTCTTCCCGCAGGCTAACCTTGGTGAACAAACATCTTTGAGTGCCTTGATGGACAGAGTCATCACTCTGGCTGATGTTAACCAGGACAGCAAGGTGTCTCTTGCAGAGGCTAAGTCCATATGGGCTCTTCTCCACATCAATGAGTTCCTCCTGATGGTGGCGCTGCAAGAGAAGGAACATACTCCCAAACTGCTAGGTTTTTGTGGAGACTTGTATGTGACAGAACGTGTGAGCCACAGCTCCCTATACAAGCTGGAGGTGCCCCATTACCTCCAGACCATCATACCAGAGGCCTTGAGCTCCAGTTTGAACCACTGGTTGGCACCATCCTGGCCCCGTAGGGCTCGCATCACCATTGGCCTGCTGGAGTTCGTGGAGGAGGTGTTCCACGGATCTTATGGGACTTTCCTCATATGTGACGCCAGCCTTTACCATGTGGGTTACAACGCTAAATATGACTGCAAGATGGCCAACCTGCGCAGTGTGGTGTCGGAGGCTGTCGTTCGGGTGTTTTTGAAGGGGCGCCGGTGTGAGAATAATTTGGATTGTACGTACGGTAAGGACTGCACGGCCACATGCGACCGACTGGTGAAGCAGTGCAACACAGAGGTTGTGCAGCCAAACCTCGCCAAGGTGTGTGTGCTGCTGCAGGACTTCCTGCTTTTTGGAGCGCCATCAGACCTGCGGGGGGATCTGGAGAAGCAGCTCCGCACCTGCGTGACACTCAGCGGTTTGGCAAGCCAGATGGAGGTTCACCATTCGTTAGTTCTAAATAATCTAAAGACATTACTGTGGAAGAAAATTTCTAACACGCAGTACTCCTGAAAACAAGCCGGACTGGTGTGCATTTCATGTCAAATGTGAGTCATTATGTGAAAATTTCCAGTTTTTGCTGATGAAGTTTTGCCAAATAGTCCGAAGGGTTTAATAATTCACATTCACTCTACACTGACTTCTGACAAAAGAAAGCTGTGAAGCAAGAGATGAAGTTGGCATTTAATTCATGTTATACCCAACATGCTTTATTTTATAAATGGACTTTCATCTGTTTGCACAAACTTTTCTCAGGATGCCGCCCTGTAACATCATGGCTTTAATTATGTGAATGAGTTTTTAAAATAAAGCAACCAGCACATTGTTTGGCTTGGTGATTTATACGTAATCTATTTTTGTCTGTGCATTGTAAGAAATGTGCCAGTTTTTGTACTTCTGTGTATATTAGTTGTTTACTTTGAATGAATTTAATTTAACTGAACAAGCCAGAGATGCAAACTCCAGAAAATAAAAGTGAAAGAAATAATCCACAAATAGACTTACAATTCAGAGAATCTCAGCTCAGCTCATTCCATCTATTGTTAAGGTGTTGACTGAAAATCCCATTAAACATGTGTCACTTCCTCCTGATTCCTTGTTTCAGTGTATTATTCCTGTTCAGGTTGAATGTTAAGAGTAGACAATCATCTTCTTACACAACTACAATGCAAAAGAGACTAAACCTGCAGCATGTTGGCTGTGATATACAGGAAAGCATGAACATGCAACAATAAAACACACCGCTAGAGGTTGACATATGTTGCGCACAAAAGCTAATACAGCTCATTTGAGTGGTGAGAGCTGATGTCTCGCTGTGCGAAACTGTAGCCTACACAAGGGTTGATTTAGATTCAATGATTGAACAAAGCATGGAAAACGAATTATTAGGATGAGTTGTTCACTGACTTTTTTCTATTAGTTTCTTATTGCAAAAAAACAGTAAAAACAGTTAACAGAAATGAAGAAACCAAAAAGAAATGTCCATATATACCAGTGTGGCGGAAATAGATAAAAAGTTTGTGCATTTGCCTTTTTTTTCCTTTTGATGTTTTTCTTTTCTTTTCTGGAGGACAGTAGGGCACAACAGCTGCAGCACGTCACGCATGTGTCACATTCGAGTACAATCGAAAATTACAAAGTTTTTCCTTGAAGGGGACGGTGGCTGGGACGTAATTTTGGGGGGGGGACGGGTGGGACATGTCCCCCCCACTTTTTCAAAAGGCAGTTTTGGTCCCCTGCACTTTTTTCCGTCCAAAAACAATATTACGCTCCATTAAATGGATTTGGTTGAGCACTAGGACCGAAACGGAAACCGGTTTCCTATTAGACCCGCCCAAAAGCTAATCTATTGGCTCTGCTGATACTTGCTAACGTATTATTGGCTGTTGCTGCTGTCACTCAAGTTGTAAACAGTCAGAACGTGCTCACGTTGTTTTGCTAGTTTGGAGCCGCTAGGGAACACCGATACTGAGTCACATCATCAACTAGACGCTGTGTAATATCAGCTCAGCTCAGCTTCCATTACATAACATTTGAATAAGTGTTCATTTGTGAGTTTTTGGTAGTTAGGCACAGCCAGGAGGCAGCATGTCAAGAAAACGAAAAGTAGATATAAGAGACTTCTTTCAAAGTCAAAACGTAAGTTGGAACATGTGACAGACCTGCATTAAGCTCAGACTCGCCTCCTCCTTCACAAACATACTCAAAACTAACTTTTACAAACTCATCTCCTCCACATAACTGACTCCTCAGACAGAATTTATTCGTATTATTATAATTATTTTTTTATTATTATTACTAGTAGTAGTAGAAGTGTAACTTCAAAACTTTTATCATTTAACTTTATTGTAAACGTATCTATTGCAATGTATATGTTCACATTAAAAAGCTCTGAAAAATGAACAGTATCATCATCGTCAACAGATTTTTTTAAGCTTAATGTCAAAGATGTACACTTTTCATTAGATTTATCCTATTTTTTCCATTTATTTTTTGTGTGTTGAAATGCAACAACTGTTTAAACACTTTTAAGGGAAAAAACATATTTAATATGTTTTTATACACTCAAATGTTAGGGTGATGATCATGTGTAAAACATTAGTTCAGCATGTCCTCTAACACAGCAAATGAACAAACGGCCAGATCTCAGGAGGGACCGTTTATGTATAAATAATTTTTATACTTTTGACTAGGCCTGGGAATGTAACAAATTTTGCTGGACGATATTTTGTCCAACAAATTGTTGATGATAAACGATATTGTCAACATTATCTAGACCAAAATAACCACTAATATAATGTTAATATATCATAATAATGCAAGTACACCCTTTAAAATGCAACAAATAAACCTTCATTTAACATTCAAATGTCCAGAACCAGAACTTCTAAATGAATAAAAATAACAAACAAAAATTCAATAAAAAAGGAATCTCACTCCCTGTTAGAAAATGTTGCACCAAAAACAATAAAAAAAGACCCAAAACAATAAATACAATGGCCTATCCATTGTCAACAGCCAAAACTGCACTTCAATAATGGTAATAAATAAAAATAATAATAGAGTTGTACATTTTTTAACTTTGATATATATATATATATATATATATATATATATATATTGAGGATGGAAAAATTATTGAGATGGGCACGTGACGTGTCAAGGGGTCTTTACATAACACCCCCCACCCCAAATCCGCACAAGCCTGCTGTGTCCCCCCCACTTCTGAAATCAAAATTTCGTCCCTGGACGGTGGTGAAATCGTTTCGATAAGAAAATGAACTTCATGTCAGAAAATACATTTGTTTACATCGAATCATCGTGTCTATCGGATGAAAATTTGAATAAACTCTCGTGTGTAGAAAAAAATCAGTTGTCTTTAAATGGAATAGACATTACGAAACGTCACAAAATGCCGCCCAAAAGAGGTGTAAATGTTCCGAGGTTCAGTGAATGTACCATGAAATGTGATTATTGTGGAGAAGACGACACTATAGATCATGTTATATTCATCGACATATATACATATTTGAAATACAATGTCATATTATATTTATATTATGTTATTACAATGTCAGAAATATCAGGCGGAAAGAAGGACAATGATTCAAAATCTTAGTCAGATGAAAGTGAAACTGGATTTTGTTGCTTTATTGAGACATAATTCAAAAAGTGACTGTTTTCAGATTTTATTTCGGTTTTTGAAAGAGATAAGGATGTTTGGGAGACTTTGGGGTTTTTTCCCCCCTGTTTGATTTTGTTTTGTGAGCGCTGTTCCAGACCACACTCCACACTAGTTGGTGGCAGTGATGCACCATTCGTTGTTTGCCGACCGCCAATAAAACACCAGAAGAAGAAGAAGAAGAAGAAGAAGAAGAAGAATGTACCATCAGCTGTGTTTGACCAGATCAGGTGGAGGCTGGGCTGAGGGCGGTTCTGTTGTCTGTTGCCTAACAACAGGTCGAAAAGCTCGTAACGGTACCGGTAACGTAAAGTTTGTTTCGAGTTTGGGGGTAAATTTAACTTCTTGTTGCGGGTTTAGAGTCATTAGCGTAATGAAGTTTAATGGGCTAAAGGCAGGTTTAGCTCTGAACCAGCTAGCATCAGCAGTGTTGGCTCTTAGTGCCCCCGCCTGCTTCTACCGGTTTGTGAGAGCTGCTGCCCCCCCTTTCATGTGCTCATAAAGATGTGGCGACGTTATTGTCGCTGTATGTCAAAACGGGGGATTTACCAGATAACGGTTTGGGACATTTCCACCTTGACTCGCGCTCAATGCGACATGACGGCATCACGTGGCCTTTCTCTATGATCAGACCGTTTAAGCCAGCGATGCGTACGTCATCATATCAGATTCACTCGCCGGTGTCGGATTGCAACACTTGGCGTTACCGCTGTGCGCAGCCCAGCAGCGTCACTCGTCACATTTTGCATAATGACTGATCATTATGAAAATGTTAAGGTTCAACATGGGCAAATTAATCCGAACGGTGAGGAGGCAGAGGAGGAGGATGACAACGAGGAGCAGGTTCCTGTTTCGTCCCCCTCTGTTTGTGCCTCACCTGACCCCATCATCACCACACCTGGAACAGACGCATCCACCTCCTCTAATGTTGGTAAAAGAAACTGTAAAAGTGGAGTCAAGGCAGTTGGGGATGACGAGAACTCTTCTGGCAACCCAAACTCAAACTTTCCTTGGCCAGTCGTGCCTCCATATACGATGAAAAACTTCAACAGTCCAGGGAGTGGGCAGCAAGCCCTTAAAATCAAGGGATTAGGAAGGATACTGCAGGGCGAGTCAGAATCTAATGGAAACTATCCATCCAAAACCATACAAGCAAGCTGCAAGGATGGATTCGGTTTCTCAAGAAGACCTGTGACGGTGGACTCATCTAAAGCCAAAACCTCATTGAAAGCCTTGAAGTTATGCATCAAACAGCTCAAGTGGAAAGAGGTACTACACTGTAAAAAAACAAACAACAACAAAAAACGTTGATTTTTACGGTCAAATGCTGGCAGTTGAGGTTGCGTAAATGGTACCGTAAAATTACAGCCAAAATCTTTTTTTCTTTTACGGTATTTTTGTACCGTAAAGTGTTTTTGTTTTATGGAAAAGTGTTTTGCTGAAATCAGTATTTCACTGTAAATTGTGTTTTTCTCTAAGTAAACATTGTTTTACTGTAAAATGAACATAAAATTAATCTATGAAATACAATTTGTGATATTAAAAAAATTATTTTTTCCACTAAAAACAAACATTTCCCTCGTAAAAAGGAAGATGTCCGCCACAAAAATCCAAAATTTTCCCCACTAAATACATAATTTTCCCCACTATAAACTAAATTTTTTCCCACTAAAAACAAGAACAATTTTCAGCCAGCCTAATAATTCAGTTGCTGTTATTATCAGATGATACAGAACCTTTTTAACTTTAGCGCTTTTAATCGTTAAATTCTGCAAGCTTATTTCACAAAGCAACTACTTACAAAAACTCCTAAATACAACACAAAAATGTCCACCTTATCTATCTATCTATCTATCTATCTATCTATCTATCTATCTATCTATCTATCTATCTATCTATCTATCTATCTATCTATCTATCTATCTATCTATCTATCTATCTATCTATCTATCTATCTATCTATCTATCTATCTATCTATCTATCTATCTATCTATCTATCTATCATCTGTCTGTCTGTCTGTCTGTCTGTCTGTCTGTCTGTCTGTCTGTCTGTCATTAATACTGTGACACTGTGAAAATCAGATGTTTAGATTTTTACACAGTAAATAAAAATGTTGTGCATTAATGATGAATCACTCTTGTAGACCCTAAGGAAGGCTGGGAGACGTTTCAGCTGTTACATTAAGGTGTTAAAATGTATATAATTTTTTATTTGTGTTTTTTTTAGTGGTTGAAGGTTACAATACTAGCGTACTGCCTGAGTATATACATGTACCATTTGTTATGTTTCTTCAAATGATTCTCAAGTTTTAGTGCTGCAGTAACAATGGAATTTCCCAACGGTATGATCAATATATTTTATCCTATTCTTCTAAAAAGGTGAACGCACATGGACGAGATTGGATTTGGTTTTCCAAAATGGCACTAGGGGGTGCTAAAAGCCAAAACTGCCTAGTCTCGCTTTAATACATGCTATAGTGAAACGGTGTCTTCATTATGTATTATTAAGTAATGATTGGTAACTCAGTGACATGGGTGAACCGCTGTCTAATTTTATCAGCAATGACATTTGAACCCTTTTAGGTCTGGTTTCCAAAGCAATACATAGCTGTTACCATGCTCTGTCCGAGTGCTGCAGTGCCGCAGGCGTTTTGAAAGTACTTGTTATCGTTGACAGGATTACTGTTTGGTAGCCGTGCTCCTCTGTTTTTCATTATGGAATGAACATCAAGTAGAAACTAGAAAAACAACCTTTTAGCCAGTGCATATTTAGAAAACTTGGACCTATTGGAGGACTTTTCACATATGATTCAGTGAGAAATCATTAGCCGTAAGCCCCTCTAATCCAATATACCTTCAGGCTTCTTTGGGACAGAGATAATAGCAACCCGACGGATCGAAAGAAAGCTTCAGAAAGTACGACAAATAACACGGTACTTTATCTTAGGCTTAGTGTTCCGATAGGGACTGAGCTAAATAAACTTTTAAATCTTTCAATAGCTTTAGGATTTATTATAGTGTGTATTTAAACAGAAATCTTCTAATGTAAGTGCAGATAGAGATACTGAACTTTTAATATTTGCAGCATCTGTTGCAATGGAAAGCACCAGTAGAACCAAGCAGAAGATGGCGATATACAGGTTTAATCCTCAGAAACCACTTGAATGAATCTGGCCTCCTTTCCTGATGTGATCAGACCACTATACACTGTGGCGTGTGTGTGTGTCACGGTATTTATAGCAGGTCTTTGCTGTCAGGCAGGGCCTCCCTGCTGTACAGTGTCACGCCAACACATTAGTGGGATGCAACTCTGTCACAGGTTGAGCTCATCACTCAACAGCTGAAGAGGTCAGATCCTGTTTAGGCTGATAATGATGGGCTGCTGACCTTCTAGTGTTGTAAGATTGTTCTGATGTCATTAAAATGAAAGGTAAACACGTACGTTTTTACACTTATTTATCAACTCCCGTTTTGAGTTTTAATTCATCACATCATCGGAGAAGTTAAAGTTGACTTGTTTGAGTGTCCTTTTATAATTGGCATTTATAAAGATCTTAGAGACTGAGAATATTAAAGGGGTCCTAGAACAACTCTTTTTTTGTAATGAAACCCTTATACTGAGCATGTATTTAGTTTGTGAAAGATTTGCTCCAATTCCACTGTAGGAGTTGTGGGAGTGTTCAGTGGAAGGAGGAAGGGGACCAGGTAAATAAACTGGCTCTGTCCTCTCAGCTGTTACATCTCCATACATAATCTAACTTTATAGGACTTTGCTAAGACATCAGCATATAGCGACCATTTCGGCTTTGAGTGACGTCACTGATGAGCACAAAAAAGTGTCCATGGACATTAATATCATTAAAATACTTTATGACCACAAAGCGGCATAAAATATGGCAACTGGGAGAGATTTCTGCTGCAGGTTTGAAGCTAATATTGTGATGCTAACAGAGGTTATGATGAGAGAGACGCATCAGAAGATGTCTGCAACATTTTTTTGGCATGTGAGCTACTTTTACACAATGAAAGTACAGAAAAGCTACTACCATACCCAAGGTCCAAAATTAACACTCGCCACTCGCCAAATGCGAGTAAATTGCTCCATTTGGCGAGTAAATTTTTGAGCTCTACCTGCCACCTGGCGAGTAAATGTTTGCACCAAATTAGTTATGTTTATCCGTCATCTTCCACGGATTTCTGATACTCCTCCCGCCTGCATGCAACGTACACAAACGTACGCGAAACATGAACGCCGCATCCAACGTCATTTCCACCTATCCCATTCAGTCAGTTGATCAAGTTAGCCGTTCGCTTCGTGTTAAAACTAGCGGTGAAATGTGGCGGTTTTTAACTGGAGTCAGCCAGCCTTCCAAAAGAAAACTCGTCGAACTGGAAGAAAAACCACCAGGACCAGTGGCAACAAGAAGATTTTGTGAAAAGTGGCGAACTGGAGATGGCGGAGTCATGAGACAATGGCTACATTATGATGGCCACGTAGCGTTGCTGCCTTTCACAGACAACTGGCCCTCGGCATTCTTCAAATATCCAAAAATGCCCATACTTCCCACTTTGTCTTCTTTGAGGGATAATAAATGTCCCGAGTGCTGCCGTCTTCTCCTGCCATTATTTCAGCTTTAGCTTAAAGAAAGTTTTGGTCGTAAACAACAAAGTGCGCATGTGCCGCCGGCAACTTCCAGCAGATGATACGGTGGCTGGTAAGGGTCACCGCGCCTACACCGCAGCCACGGTAATCCACCGAGATAATATATATATATATATATATATATATATATATATATTAAACAAGACTGTTATTATTTATTGTCAACTTTTTTACCGGGGTTTACTGCTACACCGGTTACCGTGACAACCCTAGCCCTGACACACTTTCAGATATTCTCATGCTGCAGCTGTGTTCTCCAGAGATCAAGGACTATAGGACCCAAATGAGGCTGTAATGCTTTGGCACAAAGACGGTGTCAGAAGCAGGAGGCCAGACTTCATGGACAGAGAAAACAAGGAGTCTGACTAGATTTCAATGAAAGAGTTCATAAAAACATCTCTATAAATAAATAAATAGTAAAAATGACAAAAGAGTTGTTTTCCTTATTAATTGAAGTTTTAATTATTTTGTCACTCTGTTTGGAATCAACATAATATAGAATTACATGCTTTAGCTAGATCTAAATCATTTAGAATTTTGGCCGGTAAAAAATATGCTTGGCCGGTAGATTTTCATCATCTACCGGCCAACTTGGCCGGTGAGTAAAAAATTTAATTTCGGACCCTGACCATACCATTTCTTCACATTGATACCTTCCATGTGTGAATATCGCTATGCTTACTATAGTAACATACATTGTATTCACAAGTTGATTTCTCTGTGTTTCAATACATTAATATAAAGAAAAGTACAAGGAAAATATTGATGTTCTTAAAATCAAATAAAACAAAACATTTTGTTTTTTAGCTTATTTGATACTTTCAGATAATAAATAACACAACTATCATATTTATGGGATTTTGCTCTTGAAAGTTGAGCTTTGCTTCAATAACTGCTGGTAATATGATGCTTTGCTGCATTTTTGGGTGATAATATTAAAATAGAGTTTATCCTTCTGTCTCTGGATCAGCTGATGTGCAGGTCTGATGGCTGTGTGCAACAGAGCTAGAGATATTTAAAAATCGTTGCTAAATGAGAAAATCAGCTGAAACTGTTGAGGGAAATTTGTTGAAACTAAATCACAGGAGATGCTCAGCGTTTGGATCCCCGTGTTCATCATGTGGTCCTAAACAAACTGCATTTAATTTGCGTTAACAAGTTATTACTGCAGATGGGACTTTACAGTTGCCCAGAATATTTTACTGAGGATGTTTTTCTGAAACCAGGTCTGTGTAACCGACATCACCCTGTCTTCTTCAGTCATCCACCTGCACCCTCATAGATCAGAAATGAGGATCTGTCCTACAACCAGAGCAATCTGCATATTTCCAGTAGAACATGTTTGCCAGAAAGATTTGTACAATAATCAGACTTTTTATTTCACTTCAAAATTCAAGTTTTAGATTAGCCATTACAAAAAACGGGGACGACTTGCCATCAGAATTAAAAGCTGTCCCTCGTTTAATGACATGTCAGGCAGGATGGCTCACTGGCTGCTTCCAGACAAGCAACTTCAAGTGCGAGCTACCGGTATCTCGCGAGCGACGTGTTGGGACCCCTGGTCTAGGAGTGGGAAAATTGGTTGGAATCGCCCTTTCCTAATTGGTAACATAAAACATATGAACATTGGCAAATACATTAACTCCTTGGTGGATTTGATTCATGATTATGATCCAGTTATTCTGGATTAACTTGAAACATCAAAAAACATTAGAAAACCTTCCAGAATATTAAGAGTAGTGTTGTCAAAAAAATCGATACCCAGATATAAATCGATACTAAAAGTGGTATCTAAATTAGATAATCCATCCCTGTGGTATCGATATTATGGACTATTATACACAGCCTTCTTCAAGTACACCGACACGCACGACAGCCAGATGCCGTAAAGCAGCCTCCGCCTCCCAGACAAACAGAAGAAGACGCCGCATGGCTACATTGCAATTTCCCACGCGACTTGTCTCCGATCCAAGTTTTGTCTGCCAAATAAATAAACAAAAACATAAACAGTGAATTTGGGAGGCGCTTCACAGCCTGAAGTGGAATAAAGGCTTCTAAAATGATGACGGACGACAGTGTCTTTATCTTGAACATTTAATGCTCATTTCATAACGTGAGCAACATCCAAACCTTTTAACGTCTCTTTTTTCTCTCGTCAAGTACAACACAATCAGCGAAGAAGAGTGCATTTCCTGAAGGTTCCCTTCAAAATAAAATACTTGCACAAATACATTTTCAGTGCTAACAACAGGACTGTATTTCTTTAGTAACTAAATACTTAAATGAAAAATAAGTCACAACACAGCCCAACTTAATTAGCATACCAAGTCCAACACGTAGTTGTATATTCACGCTTATGTGCTTAAAGGAAAACTCCCGTTTATTGCAACCCGGACTTAATATCTAGCATGCAGTACGTTTGTTTACTCACGCTGACAACTTTGGTGCTACTTGGATTCCCCGGGGTATTAAGATCCATCGGCGAATCGCCATCAGTGTATATCCATATAACAGGTGCGGACGGGCACCCATGGTGCAGCCTCGAAGTAAGACATTATCTGCACCAGAACATCTCAATGTCGAAAGGTTTTGTTAGGAATCATTAACGTGATTCCCCTGTTCGTTTGGAGCGGGTCTGGGATTTCTAGGCGTAAACAGACTAGCTGCGGCTAATCTAACCGGCACTTTTTAATGACGTCACTGCCGTGCGCCAATCTGTTTTTATTAAGATTACCGGTAGATGTACCTTTGTCCTACTGTGGAGAAATTTGTTTTCTCCCTTTATTGACCAACAGAGTTGTTCAAAAGTACAGAACAAAACATATGGCATTACATCTTATGACAAAAATGCACCTTAAACAGAGTTTAAGCAGCAAAACATCACTCTGCAAATAGTGTATATATAGTGAGACAATTCATGATTTAAAGTGTTAACTTTCACCAGTTTTTGTATGCACGTTTAAAAAAATGCTGATACTTGAAAGGTTTAAGCACTTAATACACTTAATTCTTAACATTTAATTTTTGCAATATAAATTGAGGAATGTTAGTTTTTGAATAAACTTGTTCAATAAATTGGTGTTTTTAAATAGTATCGAAATCGAGTATCGAGCCCCCCCCCCCAGTATCGAATCGAGTTTGAAATTTTAGTATCGTGACAACCCTAATTAAGAGATTAGTTTATCTCATTTTCTTCCTCCTTTGCAGTGTGGTGGATTTCCAGTGCCTGGACTTTTTTAAAATGGTCTGAGTGGTTTGACAAGTGTCTACTGTGTCTACAGTTATGGATGTGTCGTTGACTGTTATATAATAGGATTCACAAGAATCTTAGCTTTCTAATGATGAAGGATACACATATGTATATAGAACGAGGGTTGAAGTTTATTGCCTATACGCTAGACTAATTCATGTGGCATAAAAAATAAACTCATAAAAAATTATCAGCGAAGGGCTTGGACTCTCACTGATGATCGATTTTAATTCATCCATTCACTCAACCTTAGTGTCTGCTCACGATCAGGGTATCTGCAGGTCCTTAAAAAGTCTTAAAAAGTCTAAAATTTGCTTTTCCAAATTTAAGGCCTTAAAAATCCTTAAAAATTACAAATAATCCTTAAATTCATTTTCCAAAGGTCTTAAATTACCAAAGACCCAATAAACAAGATTCTTTTATTTCTATAAAAATTTTGTGAATTTCTAGTTTGTGTTCAGCATTTTTTGTGTATGACATTTGCATAAGCGGAACCGTACACATTCAGTTGGTTGTGAAAGGGGACTATTTTTAGATGAGCACATTAGCTGGTTAAGCTAGTGGGAGCTTGCACCATGGGGAAGTGCAAGTTTAATGGTAACTAGATGGCTAATCCCACGTTCGCAACGTGGTCAGCACCGTTTCCAGGCAATAACTGGAAATTATAGCTTAAATTTAATTTAAAAAAAAAAGCTTAAATTTGGTCAAAGTGGCCTTAAAAAGGTCTTAAAATGTCTTAAATTTGGCTCCCTTAAACCTGCAGATACCCTGTATGATGTGTTATTGCATCTTTTCTCAAAACAAACAGTTTCTTTATGGCCATTACAAAACCACTAATCTGCATAGGAAAGCAGGTCAAGACGACACTATAATATTCTACATTAGACACCTCAAGCTGCCTACAACAAGGTAAATGCTGTTTTCAGTTCTAGAACCCGTTACATTCCTGCCAGGGTGTGTATCCAGACTCCAGTAAGACAGGATCGAATGGTCAGAGCGGTTTTTACAAGGCAGGACCTGATCAGTCTTAAGAGTTTAAGCTAGGTTGGTGAACTCCGTTTAAGTTTGGGTTGAAGTTGCTTTGAAAACAAAAGCTAGGCTTTGTGCTAAAAGGAACACTTCCCTCAAAATCTTTATATAGAAACCGCTCATTGCGAAAAGTGGAACTCCCTACCCAAACCTTCTGTAGGCAGATTGTTTCATACACTGCAACCAACCATCTCAACAACCTGCTATTATCCTGGGTCTCGCCCACAGAAGAAACAGCCTTTCTTGTTTACAAAAACAGAAATTTGTTTTGAATTAATTGCTCTGGTCATCTTCTGTTTTCTCCTCTCGTGCTGTCCTCAGTTTCCTTTGGGAAGACGAGCTCCTTGTGATATCTACTGGCATGGTGTTTCCTTCCATGACAACGAAAACATTGTGTCAGGGCTGGTCAACAAGTTCCCAGGTGATGCACTGGTTCCACTTACCACTGAGGTGTAGTGAACTCTTACTAGAAGAAATAAATCTCTAAAAACATTTCATCTGCATTAGTACTGAGCATGGGTGATGGGAAAAGACTGTCCACTGATGTTTATTTTGACTTTTGTAATTGATGTTGACGTGTGTTGGGCAGCTCCTACAAGTCATTAAAGGGAATGAGTTAAACATTTATTCTTTTCATTCCACTATAACAGTCAGTTCATTAAAGCTACATGTACGCATTTTAAATTGTGTGTCCTGCAGCGAAGACGTTCTTTATTAAAATGGCAGTCCATGTTATTACAGAGCGCTGTCTGTGTGCGTTTCACCTTTTGCAGGGATGGTTGAAATGCTGAGGAAGATCAACCTGAGCAGGGCAATGCGGACCATGCAGGAGCTCTTCCCAGAGGAATACAACTTCTATCCCCGTTCCTGGATCCTTCCTGAAGAGTACCGGCGGTTTTCTGCCCAGGTGTGGTTCCGGCACTTAACAACAATACTGGAACTGAAAACGGTGCTGTCGATCTACTGCCTGTTGCAGATCGGGTGTCAACTTTTAAAAGAATGCCACCTGTTTAAGAGCTGCAGCCTAAAGTTGTTTTAAACAGATGTTTCTATCAGTTATTCATTACCACTCGCCTTGACTACGCCAACTCCGTTCTAATCACATGTGACAAACGCTTCCTGCCTCAGCGTAGGGTTGGGCATCGATCGGAACCGGTTCCAACTGTTAGTTTTTCCCTGAATCGTTCAAAGTTTATTTCAATTCCTAGTTTCGATTTCTAGCATTCCAACCGGAAGAGAAATTCGCAGCCAATCTCCGTGAAAAATAATTGTGATCTGCGAATTGTGATCAACGCTTTTCAGAGCTGATCACACCCAGCTGTCTGTGTGCAGCACGAGTCACCCCATCCCCCACCCGGCACGCAGCGGCCAAATATAAACAAACGCGTCTGCTGAACATTTACTCCGTAATGTAGACTTGAACTCCTGCAGCGTAGAGGAAACTTGTCAAAATACGTCAACACGGTGGATTTAATAGAAGCTCTAAAGAACAAACTCTGGACGGTGTGAGGTGAGTTTGTCTCACTGCAGAAATAAAAACACACGGAGCGTCAGCAGTCAGACGCAGCCGCTCACCAACGTGTGTGTGTGTGTGTGTGTGTGTGTGTGTGTGTCAGAAAGCTGAACAGTAACCTGTAGAATAATTAGTCATCATGTTAGAGGAGCTTCTCTGTGGTAGACCACACCAGCTTCTGCCACATTAAATACTTATAATAACAATAATAATACAGTGGTGTGAAAAAGGATTTGCCCCCTTCCTGATTTCTTATTCTGTTGCATGTTTGTCACACAAAATGTTTCTGATCATCAAACACATTTAACCGTTAGGCAAAGATAACACACGTAAACACAAAATGCAGTTTTGAAATGATGGTTTTTATTATTTAGGGAGAGAACAAAATCCAAACCTACATTGCCCTGTGTGGAAAAGTAATTGCCCCTGAACCTAATAACTGGTTGGGCCTCCCTTAGCAGCAGTAACTGCAAACAAGTGTTTGCGATAACTTGCTACGAGTCTTTTACAGCACTCTGGAGGAATTTTGGCCCACTCATCTTTGCAGAATTGTTGTAATTCAGCTTTATTTGAGGTTTCCTAGCATGAACCGCCTTTTTAAGGTCATGCCATAGCATCTCAACAGGATTCAGGTCAGGACTTTGACTAGGCCTCTCCAAAGTCTTCATTTTGTTGTTCTTCAGCCATTCATAGGTGGATTTGCGGGTGTGTTTTGGGTCATTGTCCTGCTGCAGCACCCAAGGTCGCTTCAGCTTTAGTTGACGAACAGATGGCCGGACGTTCTCCTTCAGGATGTTTTGGTAGACGGTAGAATTCATGGTTCCATCTATCACAGCAAGCTGTGACTTTATAACCTTTACCAGACTGATGGATCTCAATTACTTTTGTTCTCATTTGTTCTTGAATTTCTTTGGATCTTGGCATGATGTCTAGCTTTTGAGGTGCTTTTGGTCTACTTCTGTGTCAGGCAGCTCATATTTAAGTGATTTCTTGATTGAAACAGGTGTGGCAGTAATCAGGCTTGGGGGTGGCTACAGAACTTGAACTCAGGTGTGAAACACCACAGTTGGGTTATTTTTTAACAAGGGGGGCAATTACTTTTCCACACAGGGCAATGTAGGTTTGGATTTTGTTCTCTCCCTAAATAATAAAAACCATCATTTCAAAACTGCATTTTGTGTTTACTTGTGTTATCTTTGACTCACGGTTAAATGTGTTTGATGATCAGAAACATTTTGTGTGACAAACATGCAAAAGAAGGGGGCAAATAGTTTTTCACGCCACTGTAAATCACACACAAAGTTGTGAAATTTCCTTTCTGAACTATTTCTGTTGAGAGTTTTAATGTTTAAAATCAGTTCGATTGTTACTGACAGCAGCTACATTTAAGCTTCACTTCCTGTTCTGACTGAACGCTGCTGCAGCGTGGAGGTATAGTTCTCAGTCATCCTGGACATGATCATCCTGAGAGTTTTAGCTGGAAACAGCTGGATGTTTCTGGATATGTTGGAGACATTTAGCCTCTCATCCCAGAGGCTGCTTCCAGACTTTGGTTGTGGTCAGAAACAAACACACTGGTTGTGCTGCAAGTCTTTTTCTTTTTTCTCCAAAACATGTTTTTGTCTAAATGAAGGTGATGTTGTTGTTCATAGAGTTAAAATTCATGTTGAAGTTAAGATTATTTCATCTAGTAGGACCTGTGGTTAGCCGGCTCATGTAAAACACGTCATGTCTTGAAAGAATCGGAATCGGGAATCGATAAGAACGGAATCGAAACGAGGAATTGGAATCAGAATTGGAATCGTTCAAAATTAAAACGATGCCCAACCCTACTCAGCAGGATGCATAAAGGATAAAATGCATAGGTTTCTTATAAATGCAGCCACATTACCCCTGTTCTGTCCAGCTTACATAGGCTCCCGGTGCACCATCAAATCCACTTCAAGCTTCTAACTTTAGCGGACAACGCTGTGAATGGCTAAACAACTCCCTATCTCCGTACGTCGCTCGTGCCGTTTGTTCCCTATGTTCTGCTGACCCTAGGCATCTGTGTGTTCCGATGATGTCCTACAAATCGTGTGGGGAGAGCGCGAGCTTTCTCACGTCACTCCCAAACTGTGGAATGCTCTCCTGCCCCACATTAGGTGGTCTCTGTCTTTTAATGGGTTTAAGTCACAACTGAAAACTCACTATTTTAGCGTAGCTTTTACTCAGTTACTCAATATTTTCCCCCTCCTTCAGTGTCTGTTAGTTTAGCTCCACTCTTGGACTGTTTATTATATATACAAATATCTTATGTTGCCTTTTGATGGTTTTAAACTTCTTACTGTCTTCTATCACTTTGGTTTTTATCCAGTATCTTTGATTATCTTGGCTCTGTACGGGTCCTCGGTTTTAAACGTGCTTCACAAATAAAGAGATGGATATTCTCAATTTGGTCTAAAATGTATTTTCCAACTAACTATTAATAGACATTATAGAAATGTAAAGACGACGAGCTGGTAGCCAATAAGACACCAGAAATGCTTCTCAAAAAGAACACGATGACCAGTAAAACGTGTTTCTTTTTGCTTAATAAATATGACTTCTACATCGTTCTCGTTCCCAGATCCCATTGTTTCATTTGATTGGCTCCACATCTTTTTGCTCATTACGTTTCTCTACGTACTACTAGAGAGTTGAAAGTCATTTTCTGTGTTTTAATGATTTGCTTGGTGTTGTAAATTTAATGTAATTTGAGGTAAAAATTGGTTTAATTTATTTAACTCTGTATTTTAATAATGTATGAATGCATAATTAAGAATTCATATATTCCCGGTGTTTTTTGCTAGAAAATTAACATTTATAACCTGTTTACAACTCAGTGGTAATATCCAGTATGGGAAATGTCCATACTCTATTATAGCAAATTAAGAAGTAGTGTTTTGTCCTTTCAGACAACATGCAAACTCATAAATAATTTGCATAAAAATCTTTTAATCAACGCAAGAGGTTATAATTCACAGTAAGGTGACAGCATATACTGTCCAGCTGGGGGTGCCAGATCGTCAATTTTTATATCACATTTATGGTTATTATTACTGTGTTGAAACAATAACATAAATGTTTTATTAATAATGTGTTTGACTTGCTAGTTCATTAACACCTGTGAGGGATTTTGGTAGATGGAAAGCTTCCCTGTGTTAGGGTTTTGTTTCTAGACTTTAAAGCTTTGATTCTGGTTTTTGTTGAACTTGGCAACCAAAACTGTAAACTTTTTCCATTCACTCAGACTCAAAACTTACTAATATTTGTTCCCCCCACCTTTTCTCACTTGCACCTCTGCTGCAGATTCGCTTGTTGAAGGAGAAGGATACCACAATGAACACCACTTTCATTGTTAAGCCGGATGGAGGCTCCCAGGGGGACGGTATCTACCTCATCCGTGACCCCAGCGACCTAAAGCCTATGGTGGGTTCACAGGCCAAACAGGCTGTGGTCCAAGAATACATCCCAAAGCCGTTACTCATCGACAAGCTCAAGTTTGATATCCGCCTTTATGTGCTGATCAAGTCCTTGGAGCCACTAGAGATCTACATTGCCAAAGAAGGCTTGACCCGATTTTGCACCGAACCTTACGAGGTAGCCTTTATGATGCTGATTATTATTCTGATAAAAAATCTATTTGTGCTTATGTAGTTTCTGATTGATTTGTGGTGGATTGCAGGAGCCGAGCCAGAAGAACCTGAGCCATGTCTTTATGCACCTGACAAACTACTCCCTCAATGTCCACAGCGGCAACTTTGTGCACTCGGATAGCCAGAGCACAGGCAGCAAGCGCACCCTGTCCAGCGTGCTGTACAGGCTGGCAGCTAAAGGTGTAGACATCAAGTGGGTGTGGTCGGATATCATTGCCCTTGTTATCAAAACCTCCATTGCTGTGGTGCCTGAGCTTAAAGTCTATTATCAAGCAGATATCCCGCCTGGTAAACCTGGGCCCACATGCTTCCAGGTGGGTAAACAACAATGGTGATTTGCAAACTGTGGTGATGTAGCTGCTGCTGATCCCCGACAGGAAGCTAAAGTTTAGAACCACAACCCAGCAACACAGCTATAGCCACTTTCTCCGAGTTGCAGCAATAGAGCGGTTGATTTCATGTTGTAGTATTTGAATGGGACCTTCATGTCACAGATGACTGCTTTAAACCTCCACTGGTACCAGAGTGGGTACTCTGACAAATTTCTTCTGCATTTGGGACAAAACATGCATCCTGTTCACAAAGGACATACATAATGATCTGGGGCCTCATTTATCAAGCTTGCTTACACACAAAACTGGGTCGGAAAACTGCGTAGGTAACTTTTCACGCAAACTTTGGGATTTATGAAAGAAAACTTTGCGGAAAAATGTGCGCAACTTTAAGTTGATGAAGGACCTCGCTTATGCACATTTTGGACATGGAGAGCACCTGCAGTGCTGCTGCTGAGGATAAAATTATGAATTCCAGCAGCATTATCACTTGTACCACTTTGTGCACGCACGCACGCACTCGCGCACGCACACACACACACACACACTCTCTCTCACACACACACACCCTGAAGTGCAGAATACGGAATGCTGAATATCAGCAGGGGCAGATTGAGAGTGTCATGCATCTGTGACATTGTGAGTGTCCTGTCACTGTGACCCGATTGATCATGTGCCATGGCTATTCGGCCAAAGGAGATCTCCATTTGGCTGACTGGTTAGCGTGCGTGACTCTCACCCGGTAGTCTGGGGATCGAATCCTAATCGGACCATTTTTTTATACCCGCCACAGATCTCTCTGAAGAATTCAGCATTGACGGCTTCAGCAACGCTGTGCCACTCCGTGGATTTTCTCTTATTTGTTTTTGCAAAAGCACTTCCTTTCATTTCTCCACCTCACCCACAAGTACCTCAATTTCTGCTTGTGAAATAGCACTTCCTTGATCTGTGGTCATGATCGAAATGCTGCAACGAGCCGGCTTATGTATATGTGTGAGATCCACAAGGCACTTTGCATTGACCATTTATGGCAGAAAGTGGGCGTGTTGAGGGCAGGATGTGACTAAAAAGCAGCTGAGAACCTTTCTCATAACTCTGATTTATGAAGCGGAGATTGCGTGCAGCTGTGCGTACTCCATGTTTGATAGATCGCAAAACTATTTGGTGTAAGTACTTTTTTTTTTTTTTTTTGCTGAGCTTAAGTACGGTTTTAGTAAGGATTCTACGCAATGTTTGATAAATGAGACCCCTGTACAGGATATGTGTCTTAGGCAACCGACTTGGTAGTCCAGTGGTTAGAGTAACTGTCTGGCATGCTGCTTTACACCGGCACAACTCTCGATTTTTTCGTCTTTTTTAGCTACACTTGCCAGTTTGATGTTTTCAACCCTTGATTGTATTGTTTAAAATATAAGGACTAAACTGTTTCTTTTTTTACTTTCTTGGTTTATTTAGCCAGTGTGAGTCCATGTGAGGTGAGCAGAGTATCAGCTAAAATGCTGCTTGGAAATGACCGAATTCAAAGACCTTTAGAGATACAAAATTGCAGAAAATAATCAATAAAACTAAAATAAATAAATTATGGAATCTGCTTCAGCTGATTAAACAAATTACTGCTGACACCAGGAGGCAAAACGAGATGAAAGGCAGGCACTCTAACCACTGGACTACCAAGGCCAATACAGCAATTTACTTGCCTAAGAGGCTGTGTGTTTTTTCAGAGCTGGTGTGGGCGGAGCTTTACTGAAACGGATCGTTTCATTTACGGGTATAAATTCAAGGCAAAGAATATGTCTAAGATAAAACAACATTTCAATGGTGCCATTGGTAATATTTGATCATATATTGTGCATCCTTTGCACTCAAAGATTGAAGATGGAACCTTTAAATCTTTTTTTATTTAGTCATGTAAAACCTTGCTATGGATCCATCAGGAATGGAAACATTTATCTGTGATAAAATAATGATGGCTTTTAACAAATACATGTTTAAAAACTAGCAGGAGGATTTTTAAATATTCAAGTTTTCTATATTCATATAAATAATTAGGCATAAGTACCAAAGAGCTTCAGTCTTAACAGCTTTCTCTTGGCCTGTTCTGAATATTTCACATTCTCATTTATTCTATCTGCCCTCAATTGTTTTACACAATCTCTATTTGTTGAACTATTTAGTAAACTCAAGTGTGAGGCCAACTAATATAAAAAAGTTACAGCACTTCTTTTATAGGTAGTTTTAATGTTGGTGTTTGTCCCTCAGTTATTTACCTTGTCTAATTCAGGTGTAGGCAGTCCTGGTCCTTGAGTGCCACTATCCAGCATGTTTTATCTGTTTCTCTGCTCCAACACACCTGATTTTTAACCATCAGATAATTAACGGGCTTCTGTAGAGCTAGAAAACCAGGTGAACAGATGATTTAGTGTTAAATTTGGTGTGTTAGAGCAGAGAAACACCTGAACCATGCTGGATAGCATCACTCAGGGACCAGGATGGTCCACCCCTGCAATAGATTATCATTAATAAACATTAACAGTATTAGTTTGCTCACAACTTTATGAAATCAGTAGAATGAACCTGGATACTGTGTTTCTAATGAATGGGATGTTGCTTCTAACCTTTTGTGTATTTATGGTAGCTGTTTATTTAACATCCCTTTGATCCTAAAGACAAAATTCACTGATGGCCTTGATGCACATAATAAAGTCCCTCTAGTGTTTTAAACCATGACCACTCATTGGCCACAATTGCTCCATAGTGTGACAAACACTGAATTTGCTGACAGTGTTATTGTTCCTGAAACATCACAACACATGTTTATGTGGACTGCCTGTTAAAGCCTTTCTCAGCTTTTAGGGCTGGTCATCCAATCAAGTGGAAAATTAAGTTTAATCAGATGGTATCCACTTGCTTTACACCAGTGTGTGATAATTATAAAACCATATTGAGCATGTATTCTAATTATATATCAGTATAATATGATATGTATATAAACAACTAAAGTATGTGTATAAATCCATGGGGAGGCTACTATTTGCTTCTAGTGTGATAAAGGTTTACTCGTTTTAAAGGGATACTTTGCAACTTTTTTTATATTTTTAAATGAATTTCTTGAGCCAGTTTGTGCTACAATGACAATAACTCTGCAGGGTTAATGACAGACCACCCAGCCGCTATCGCCCCTTGTGGCCAGAATATTCCATTTACAACTTCAGACTGGTGGGCTGCTCTGTTGGGACTTAGCTGACATACCTGGCGCTGCAGTCTGGTTCCAGCGTGTTTCCTGCATGCTTTAGATCAGTGGCACAGCTAATTTGTTTAATTTAGTGATGAGTCACTCTTGTAGACTCTAATGAAGGCTGGGGAGACTTCTTGGCTTCCAGATCGAAGTGTTTAAAAGACAAACGCAGAGAGAGGAGATAAGTTTATCTTTCGGTTCTAAAAACGGACACTAGGGAGTGCTAAAAGCAAGCCAAAACTTTCTACTTCCCCTTTAATAACCACCAAACGGCATAACTGTCAGATGTTGATGTAAATTATTAACTTCAATCTCTGTAAAGTGTGGAACGCTTTACATAATCAGAAAAGTTCAGCGTCTCTGCTAATTTTTAAATGAAGCCTGATCGGGCTGCTCCGAGCTGGTGAACCAGTCGTGGTTCGGGTACAGGGGCTTTATGGAGCATCCACTCACAGCTTTCTATCCAGCAGCCCAGAAGATTTCTAGCAGGTAGAGTTAGGAAAACAAGATGTTGACACAGCAGAGAACAAGGTGTGGTTGTTATTTCAACCAGAAGTTGGGTAACATAGTAATCATGGCTCAAATCAATCATGATGTGTTTGGCAGCAGTTCTCTTTATTCTCTTTTTTCACTCCAATATTAAATAGTTGCATTTTTAGTAAATGACCACATGATTGTTGTGTAACTTATATCTGTTTGCATGTCAGATATTAGGTTTTGACATCCTGCTGACGAAGAACCTGAAGCCAGTGTTACTGGAAGTCAACGCCAGCCCCAGTATGAGGATAGAGCATGAACAGGAAGTAAGACTCTGATGACCTCAGTATCATAACAGCATCACCCCCCTCGCCCCGTCTGCTAAACTAAATGTTCGCTTGTTCCAGGTGGCACCAGGAGTTTTTGAATATGTCCCCAGTCCAGTGGACAAGGAGGTCAAAGTGGATGTGATCAGGGACACTCTACGCCTTATGGATCCCCTCAACAAGGACTCAACACCGTAAGCACACACACTCACACACACAGTTGGTCCAAGCTCTGTCTGCACGTCCACTTTTTCAAAACATCTCACTCTGCCGCCAAGTGCTCTTTTATTCTTTCTAAAAGAAATGCATATTTTATAATAACTGGTTGGTTGCTATATTTAGATGCTGCAATTTTAGTTTGTATAGTTATTACACACTTCTGATATTTGCACATCTCTGACTTGCTGGTAATAATTAAAACTGATTTACCTCTTTAGGGCTCAGTTATGCCCACAAGAAAGGAAGAAAAAATGTTACCTTTAACAAAATCCACCTTTTGTGTTAAAACATTTAGCTAACTGATAAACAGCAATGCCCCAGCCACTGTGTATTAAATAGAAATTCACTTATTAATGACTTAATAATATTCACTGAAACACCTGGTTGAGTGTAACATTTGTTGTCGTATTTTACCCTCTCAGATATCTTTTATAGTTTGGGGGAAGTTGGTGGGGATCAATCCTTGAAAGGAAAGCACGAGTTCGAGTTTGTGGGGTAGATGTTCCTGGAAAAGCTACACTTAAGAAAACAAAGGTCCAACCCCATTTTCTCAGGCTCTCCTCCTAAGCCACGCCCCAGAATACAGAAAAATGTTAGATGTAACAGATACTGTCCAACAACCATTAAAAAGTACAATTATTTACCTTTTTGCACAATTGTTGGCATCTTTTCTGCTATGATTCCTAACGTAATGCGCCTACGTAACAGCTGCAGAGCCTCCAGACTTCTGACACACTCCTCACAATCAGGAGGTCTCCGGACTCTGTCCCCAGTGAATGTTTGAGAAGTTCCAGCAGGCAGGACTTGGCTTATTACACTGTAAAACCCCTTTGCTACTTACCCTCTGGCTACATAACCATATCACAATTGAGCATGCATAGCTAGCCTGGCTCTGGCTTCACTTCCTGTTCAAGTTGAGAACACATGGAGGGGCATGTGTAGAGGGGGGAGGAAGGGTCAGATGGATCAAGATCCCGTCAGTAACTCATTCGCTGCCAGAGTTCCTCATCGTTTTAACTGTTTTTTTAAGAGTCACACAACGTTGTGCGCTAGGATGATGTCGACGCCAAAACAACCAAAACAAAGTGGAGACTCACCTCTTGCATCAGGAAGAATCCACGCGTTTCGAACCTTATCCATTCTTTCGTAATCCGTTGTTGAATTGTGATCGGCAGAAGCTTTTCCGGTTCGCGCCTCACTTTTTTTTTACAGCAGCGGCCCAAAACGATCTCCTAACACATGGATGTTCTGCTTCCTGATCACGTGACGTGTGACGTATGCAGATGAAGATCGGCTTTAGAGCTGAGGTGTTTGTTCTCACGGTGCGGGGGCTCGTTCCGACGCCCACACTGTAAAAACATGGCAGTGAACGGTTGGATTTAAAATGACGACTTGAGTTTCAACGGCAGTGAAAAAGTTAAGGTCATAATAACTGGATGAGGATTTTTCCAGGATTGTACGTTTCAGAGGTGAATCAAATTATTAACTTTTTGACAAAAAAATTTAATTTATTGTTTTCATCAGAATGTAAAGAGCATTTCTAGAAACATAAAACAATAGTCCAGAAAAACATCTCCTATCCCTCTTTTAAGACTACTATTGTCTTTGGAAAAGAGGTTTAATGGGTCCTCCGTCCATTATAGAACATAATAGCCAGAGAACTCCACACAGTGTTCGATTTTACTCCTGAAAAAAAGATCAGCTCCTAAGATGGAATGGGAAAACATTCAGTTAGAAATGCAATCAGTTAATAGTTCTAACATGTTTGTAGTTCAGCCAAAATACTACAAAACTTTATTAAAGAAAAGGGCAGAGATGAGAAAACAGCTGACGTTCCAAAACTGGAAAGTAATAATGTTTAAGTGACTGAGCTTCATGAAACTTGACAGGTAAACATGAAATTATATTTTAACGTGGCTTTAAATGTTATGTTTTGAATACATTTCTAAATTAAAATCCCAGATTGTTTAGCATTTTTCAAAGATTCAACCAAAATTATGTTGACTTTAAATCTTTCTGTCATGTCC